AGATGAAATGTGTATGCAATTTTATGATGACACCACTAAAATAGACGGCGACAAAAAATTTATAATGAAACTTCCATTAAAAAAAGATGCCATCTAGGTAAATCTAGAAATATAGCAATGGCAAGATTTTTAAACCAAGAGAAAAACATGAGCAATGAGAAAAGAACTGAATACATAAAATCCATGGAAGAATATGAGCAGAAAGGACATATGGAAAAAGTAAAAGATAATACAATAGGAAAATATTACCTACCGCATCGAGCAGTGATAAGAGGATCAAGTTGCACTACAAAATTAAGGGTAGTATTCGTTGTATCAGCAAAATCGACAAATGGAAAAAGCTTAAACGACATAATGATGACGGGGCCAAGATAACAGCAGGATATATTTGATATATTAATGAAATGGCGATTATGGAAATTCGTCGCTTCAGCCGATGTAGAAAAAATTTTCAAGAAAATAAAAATTGCACCAGAAGACCAAGATTACTCCAAGGGGAAAAATTATTGAATATAGATTAACAACAGTTACATATGGAACCGCAGCTGCAAGTTTTCTAGCAGTACGAATACCTCTGCCTCTCTGAGCCTCTGAGCCGATTAGTATTAATTAAGAAGCGATGAAATAAAGAGCTACAAAAAATAATAGTTTTTTATTTAATTTATACAAGAGACTCAATAAAAACATACGATATATTGTTTTGTGAAATAGAAAAATATATTGTCAACATTGAGGGAAGTCTCAAGTGTGACAATAATTTAAAAAATGATTTAATAAAACATTAATGGAAGGTGAGTTCTTTATGGGAAAGAATTCAACAAAATCAATCATTGATATGAATGAAAATAATTTGGGAATCGTCCAGGATGAAAGATATATAACTATAAGATAACTATAAGAAAAGATATATAACTATAAGAAAAGATATATAACTAATGATTACATGTCACTTAAGTTAAATTTGGACGAAAGAATACAAAGCATGGGAAAAAATATGGAGGAAGCATCGAAGATTTCAATTTCTGAAGTATTGCGTATTAAAAAATTTGGAGAAGTCCAAAGGAATAAATATTCTTTGCAGCAGAATTTAATGACCTGGTACAGAATAAAAAAGAAGTGTCAACCTCAATAAAACTAAGGCACTTAAGATCATTGCTGTATGGAGAAACAAGGTCAAAGGATCAAAGCACCTTTTGTTGGGTAGTGAGGAAAACTACGAAGCAGTATGGGAATTTTTAAAAGAAAAATATGAAAATAAAAGAAATATATTTTCGACCACACTTAATGAGCTGATGGACTTACTGGCACTAGATGGAAGAAAACTTAACTCCATCAACAAATTTATCTCTACAATTGAAGCAACAAGCAGCTATAAATGATGAAGCTGATGTTATCTGAGCACATATTGTGTAAAGAAAATTTAAAGGAGAAGTGAAGCAGCAATATGAACACACCATTAAAAGAAACACTTTGATCAGTTTGAAAAAATGTTCAGTAAATAACATCAGAGAGACACTTAAGGAACACTGTATGGTTTATCGAGAAACAATTAATTTCTTCGTGATGATGATGATGATTTCGTGATGATGAAAATTTTTTGAAGAAACTAAAAAAATTCAAACTCTAATCATTACATTGCTAATAGATGTCAACCATGGAAAGATAAACACAAATCTAATAAAAGCTTACAAACTGTAGGAGGAAATCGGAAAAATTAAACAACATCTCAACAGGCGTTCTCAGTTACCAGGCAGGTCGATCAAAACAATGTTACAGATAATTTATCAACTGCTGACAACAACAGGAATCCCTGTGGATGAGAAACTTGTGATAAGAGCAAAAATTCCATTACTGGACATTAAATCTGGAACGATTTTTAATATATTACCAGTTCCATTTATTAAGGGAACCAAATCGTTAGTACTGGTATTAAAAGAAGAGTTCGTTATTTATAACTACGATTTGGACAGTTATCATCTTATGTCCAGCCATAATTAAACTTGTGCGAAAACGACGAAAGCGATTACATATGTGAGAGAAATTGGGCATGGAAGAATGCAAACGACAATTCTTGTGAATTGGCAACTTTAAAATCAGCTAAGCCCTATAAATGTATCTACAAAGAAAATATGGAATCAGAAGTCTGAATTGAACTAAAATCAAAATCTAGCTGATTGTACTGCTACAAAGAGAATGCATCAGTCCATATCTATTGTCTAAATGAGATGCAGGAAATACTACCATTGGGTAGGAAAGGAATACTATCACTCAACAAAGGTTGTACAGGACGAACTGAGAGAACAACGCTTACGGCATCAGCAAGAATAAATACTAACCTACAGGATGGCTTCAGAAAGTATTTGTTAAAGGAAACAGATAACTGCACCCAACTGACCATTTAATCAATCAAACGATGCAAATTAAGGAATTAGAAAGGAAACTGGCCATTCTTAAAGAAGATTAGCTGTAACTCAGAGAACTGGAATGGCATCATATAAGTGTGCAAGTTATCAAGTCTCGTCTGCTACACTGATTATTGTGTTTATCGTTGTCTGTCCTAAATAAACAACGAAATATTATCTATTGTATTAAACAAGAAATTGGAAATAACCAAACATTGAAATTAATCATTGTAACTAAACATTGTAACTAAACATTGTAACCAAATATTTTTTATTATCGTTGGCTGTCCTAAGCAAACAACGAAATATATTATCGGGATTTGATACTTCGAATTCTTGTTATAAATACGAGTAAAAATTATGGATATAGTTAGTCTTAAGAAACATTTTAAATAAAGTGGTGGCAGAAGCTACATAAAAAATAATAGTTTTTATTTAATTGGCGCCCAACGTGAAGCCCGTGTTACAATCGTGCTCGAACTATATCACTGCAGTTAACAAAACATGCAATAACTAAGCTGTTTGCAGATGAGAAAAGAGAGATTATTCTAAGAAAAAGGAATAAATAATATTTAAAATATATGAATAATATATATAATATACTAATATAAATTAATATTTTCAAAAAAATTTTTTTTTATTAAACGTGAAATTTCATTTCATTAACTTGAAATCGTGACATTTTTTTTTTTATTTTATAAAAACGAATATATAAATTATAAAAGAACAAAAAACCCCAAAACTAAAGGTGAATGTCTAAGTAATAATAATTTAATACCTGTGGTACAAATTGAAGGAAGATACAATTAAACCGAAACTCAACTCAGGAGAAGCAGAAAACATTTTATAAGTAAGTCGAACAATTAATTTCTTTTTGAAAGAAGTATAAATGAATATAAAATTGTTAATTGGATTTGTAAAAAGATGGAAATTTTTTTTATAGTTAAATTATAAATATAAAAGTAAATTATTATTTTTTATTGTGTAAAATCTTAAAATCTTACTGTTATTCGATTTTGTTTTATACTATTGAAATATTTGTTCAACCAATTTTTTTTTGTATTTATTTATCTTATTAAGTTGTAAAACTGGAAAATCTGTTAAAGAATTTTGCTAAAATGACCCTCGAAAATAATACTTATACACAGGACTTAATTAGTCGGCTTATAGTCGCAAACACAGCCTCTCTTAGAGATGAGATAGCTTTGCTAAAAGAGCAGCTTTCTGCAGTAAATACTCCCAAAGTAGTAGAATTCGAAACGGAAGTAATAGACAGCAGTATAACATGTGATGAGACCTTGGACATAGTAAAATCACTTCCTGAATTTAGTGGAAAAAATAGTTATGTTAGTTGGCGGACTGCAGCCATAAATTCCATGAGTTTATACAATAGAGGTAGAAGAAAGTATTTCAATGCAATAACCATTTTAAGAAATAAAATTATAGACGAGGCCAACGATACTCTTGGATGCCATTATTGCTCGGCTTGATTTTGAATATTCGGACAAACGTCCAATTCATATAATAGAACAGGAATTAAACAAACATTGTAACTAATCATTGTAACTAAACATTGTAACTAAACATTATAACCAAATATTTTTTATTATCGTTGGCTGTTCAATCACGAACATGAGTTTTGACCTCCGGCAGAATGTTTAATCATGAACATGAATTTATACCATATATTTAATTATTATAGTTATAAATCCATTATCAACTTAATTCTTAGAATAATGTACTAAGGATAAATATAGATAAATAGTAACTAAAAATATACTCAAACAGTGTACTTCAATAAAATAAAAGTACATTTGGTCCTTCGAGCCGGATATACCAAGAGTGCTATGATCAATAATATTACAGTACATTTTGGTCCTTCGAGCCGGATATAGCAAAAGTGCTATATCAGTGTACTTCATCTACAATATTACAGTACATTTTGGTCCTTCGAGCCGGATATAGCAATAGTGCTATATCAGTGTACTTCTATAATATAAAAGTACATTTGGTCCTTCGAGCAAAAATAATAATGTAAGACTCTAAAAAAACAAAAAATCTATAGTTTTCCTCTACCAGTGGCAAGAAATTATAAAATATTAAAAGCAGTGTCAGGACTAAATATTTGCATAATAACAAAAAACATCGTAGATGGATGCAAGAACGAAGCTGTATCAAAAACAAAATATTGTAAAAGCTGCAATAGAAGCAATTGAAAGTAGCATCTCGAAACGAGAGATGAGAAGCGCATCATTGAAAGAACAAAGAAATAGATTACAGCATCTATGGAAGGAGTTTCATGAAAACCATGAGACGATATTAAAAAATCATATATCCAAAGATGACGTTTATTTCGAGGCAAATTCATACGAAATGATGGACAAATTCGTTAACGAGCTAGATAAAACAATATGTAAAAAATTAGCTGCGGAGTCAAAAATATCAAATACCGAAGACATAATAAAAGAAATACCGCTGGATAAGAACCAGGAAACCGAATCAAATGAGACAAGAAAGGAAGAAAAATAGTCCCAAGAAACAAACACGTTAATGTTCGAATTTAAAAGTTCAATTCAGAAATTAAAAAAAAGGTTTATAATGGGACTAATGCAAGAAGAAGAACAGGAGCTTATAAGAGAAAAAGAAAGCTGGCAAAAGCAAATAGATATAATACAAAACTATTATATAAGGTTGCGAATTGAACATAATGTACACTCTGAAGAACTGTTTATAGAAAAAGATGATATTGAAGAGTGGCATCGTGAATACGAAGTTAAATTACTAAATAAAATAAAAAAGCTTGCTGTAACAAAAAGGTCACTTAAATTAGTAGAGATCAAGATTCCATTATTTAACGGCAATGTTGAAGAATGGCAATCATTCAAGGAATTGTATGAAAAAATAGTACACGAAAACACTGATGTATCTAAGGTAGAAAAGATGTATCATCTAAAGTCACTCCTTAGAAGAGATGCTCTTACTGCAATAAAACATTTGCCAGTATCCGAAAACAACTACGAGGCAGCATGGGAAATTTTAAATCAGCGATTCAGTAATAAATGAGTGTTGTTCCAGTCCCTAATTGACAAGATATTAGATCAACCACAAATATACAGCAGTAACGCATTCAGCGTAAAATCGTTATGGCATACAACAAACGAATGTATACAAGCATTATCAGCTATGAACATTGGAATCGAATACGCAGATTCCGTCATAGCACGTATAATAATGCGCAAAATGGACAAGGAAGGACTGCTTGCGTATGAACAAATAACAAGAAAAACGAAAGAGATACAAGCGCTAGACGATGTTTTACAATTCCTAGAACAGCTATATCGAAGTTTAGAAGCAGCCAATAGCAGAAAACAACATAATAATTACAGCAGCTACAGACAGCCATCGCAAAAGATATCCCTCCTGACAGAAAGTATCATCTGTCTGTATTGTAATAAAGGAGGACATGCAACAGACAATTGCCGAAATTTTTTAGCTCTATCAGTAGCTGACCGAAATTTATGGGTAAGGTCATCGAGAACTTGCTTTAAATGTTTAAAGCACCCGTTTACGAATAAAACGATATGTGAAAATAAAAAATCCTGTATTAAATGTGGGCGAGCACATCATACAACGCTGCATAAAGATTCGGTAATGGCAAATTGCGTAAATGCAGCAAAAGATGTGTTATTGGCAACAGCGCAAGCACGTATAAAAAATCAACAGGGAGAGTGTGTGACACTAAAGGCATTAATTGATCAAGGATCTCAGACAACATTCATTATCGAAGAAGCTGCTCAGATATTACAAAAGCCACGAGTTAAAATCAATACAGAATTATATGGAATTGGAAAAGTATTAGTGGGTGTTGCAAAATCAAAAATAAAAGATTTGGAAAGTCAAATCGCTTCATATGAGGATTGGAAAGATATAACGAAGAATAACCAGGCACGCCTATCAAGCTTTTCTGATATTGAAAATGAAGTAGAGTTCTTGCGTGACAAAAACAAAAATTTGAATGAACTGATAGGTGATAAGCTATTGCTGGAAGAACAAGTCTATGGTTTGAAAACGCAACTCAAAATTGAAGATCCTGAAGACACACTCAGTAAAGGCGTTAAAATCGAAGCTGAAGCACCTGGAGAAATATTCAATGAGAATATTAATAATAAAAATTACAACTAAAAGGAATCCGAAAAGATGAACTTCTAGGTATATCAGGGGATACCAATAACCATGAAGTCAAATTTGAATTAAATAATAATTTAATAACTTCAAAAACAAATTCACAAATAATGAATCTAAAAATTTTGTTCAACACAAATTATTTTTTATATCTGTTTTTTGGCCCCGGAACTCCTCACTACGGAGGATTTTGTACGGCACAAACATTAAATAATATCTGTTCAAATTTAAATAAATTTTCTCAACATTCTTATCTTAAGGAAAACTCTGCGGCCTTTACTATTTAGCTATTTTTTATTTAGGCATGATAAAATTGGTTTTTAATGTTTTTAGGATAAGAAATCCGTGCACATTAGCAGTGGTGGTTGTTTAAATTGCTTATCATTCATGTAAGCAAAATACCACCAACGCACAAGAAGATAACAATTACTTGATTATTTAGGATAGAGTATTTTCTTGTCTGCTCAAATTGCTTATTTACGCATGCTCAAATTACTTGTATATTTAGGATAGAATATTTTCTTTGTTTATTTTATGATCAAATATTTTGTATCTTTAATTTGAGAGATAAACCAATATCATGCATTTAGTGATAAGGATAGATTTAAGTTACTATATAAGCAGTTCATTTTTAAAAATAAATTTAGTGTCTTACAAACATTCAATGAGTATTAAATTTTTACTACGGGGTAATATTTTAATAATATCTTTACAGAATTGTATGCAGTTCCAGTTCAGTGGCAGTTCGAAGTAATTCTCAAGCATAAGTATTGGAAGCTTTGGGAAAAATGGAAGGAAAAATTCCTCATATATATATGATGACGGCGTCAGACATGAAGGAGGCGATACAACTACTACAACATAATCATATTAAATAATTATGATTAATATTTTATTATGGCCCCCGGCAGAATGTTCAATCACGAACATGAGTTTTGACCTCCGGCAGAATGTTCAATCATGAACATGAATTTATACCATATATTTAATTATTATAGTTATAAATCCATTATCAACTTAATTCTTAGAATAATGTACTAATGAAAAATATAGATAAATAGTAACCAAAAAATACTCAATCAATGTACATCTACAATATATCAGTACATTGGCTGTCCTAAGCAAACAACGAAATATATTATCGGGATTCGATACTTCGAATGCTTGTTATAAATACGAGTAAAAATTATGGATATAGTTAGTCTTAAGAAACATTTTAAATAAAGTGGTGGCAGAAGCTACAAAAAAAATAATAGTTTTTATTTAATTTGCATACAGCACTAGGTATTTCATTAGTATTAACTATTGTTCTAGTAATATTATTGTATAAGCAATTTGGTTATAAAAAGAAATCTGAAAAAATTAATGTAGTATTCTCGGCAGGAGATTCTGGCCCCTTGCAGAATGCTCAAATTTGAACATGTGTCTGCGCGCCATTTACCTAAATAACATATTCATTTATTTGGGTATTAAATATTTTAGTATTGTATTTAATATTTTAACAATATAAATTATTTTTTAAAAAGGATTTTTCAAGGCCTTTAAATATTTCGTTACCAAGGCTCTTTTAGACATTAAAATATAAAATATTGTTCAAATTTCAATAAATTTTCTCAAAATCTCTTATCTTAAGAACACTCTGCGGCATTTACTATTTAGTTATTTTTTTATTTTATTGGGTTTCAATATTTAGATTAGGATAAGAAATCCGTTCACAAGAGCAGTGGTGGTTATTTAGATGGCTTATCATTCATATAAGCAAAATGCCATCAAAAAACACAAAGAGATAACAAATGGAGTTTTCTTTAATAATACGCATGCTCGAATTACGCATGTTCATTAAGCGATAGAAGATTTTCCTTTGTTTCAATTTACGCATGTTTATTTTGGGATAAAATATTTTGAATCTCTATTGGCGATAAATCTATATCATGTATTTAGCGATAAGATTATATGTTAAGCTACTATATAAGCAATTCAATTTTATAAATAAATTCAGTGTCTTACAAACATTCAAAGCGTAAAATTTTACTTCGGGTAATATTTAATAGCAAGTTAAAGAACAAAACCACGAACAAATGAGTCCTCTTCAAAAGAAATATAAGTTATATACCCTTAATATGGAAATTACATTTTTACTTGAAAACGAGTTTATAATTGAGGAAAAAACTCAATTAATTTAACCCATTATACCCATATACCCATTTATGGTAAAATGGATAATTGGTCAAATTTTGAAGAATTGTTTGAAAATATAATTCACAATAATCTTACATTAACTATACCGATGAAACTTGATTACCATAGATCACATGTGAAAAGAGAAGTCCATAAAGCAATATCTTATCTTCTAAATGGCCTGTCAGCAAACTATGAAGCTGTTTGGCATACTTTATGAAGAAGATATGAAAACAAGAAAGAATGCATAAATATGATTAAAAATTGTTTAGATATGAGTTCTAACTACGATGAATTATTTACGCACATCATACTTAGAAACCTTGACAGAGAAGGTGTTCAAACATGAACACACATTTTATAGTTTATTTTTAAGAAGTATTATTTTTTTAGAAGATAAGTTTTTTAATCTGTATATGTTAACAAAATGTTGTCCGCTAAATACTATTTGTAAAAGGACTTTGTTAATTATTTGAATATTCCAGAAAATTTCCATTGTTTACTTAAATGCTTTAAAGATAAAATTTTATTGTTTTTCAATGTTTTATGATTATAGCACAAGCTGTGCACAAATGTAAAATGATAACGCGCAAGTTACGTTACAGACGAAACCCGACACCCATTTTTCGCCACAAGCATTTTTCGATTATAGCGAATAAATATCAAAATAACTAAAGCTGAAATTGCATTTTCTTGCAATTCCAGTAAGATTCTGAACAACGATTCCTGAAGATCTAAACAACGAACAGATCTACATTATATTATTCTAAACATTTGTATTTTCATTGTCTGGCCTAACCAAACAATTAAAGATTTTCACTATTGTTCTAAATATTTTATTATCGTTGTTTGGCCTAAACAAACAACGAAGCGTCTTATCAGGATTCAATAATTCGAATCCTCCCTATATATGAAGGGAAAAATATTAGAGATAAGTTAGTCTTAAGATGAATTTCGAATAAAGTATGTCAAAACCGAAGTTCTGTCATTTTACTTTTACAATTCGCAAGTGTATCAATAACAAAGATTGTAACCTTTTTTATCTTAGACACACATGCGCCTAAGTATACAGTCCACAACGTAGCGATAACAATTTGAACACTTAGTTTAGTGATAAAATAATTGTATAAATACATGTACTAGAAATAAAATAATTCAGTCATTTCAAAATACTCAAAGTGTGTGTACGTTAAGTTATTAATGGTACACATAGAATTTTTATAGAATATCACATTGTGTAAATATTGTAACTAAATAAACAGTACGAGATAATACATTTTGTTTTTAATTCTTAAATATATTATATTATCGGTCTTGACCTAAACTAAACAGTATGAAATAATACATATTGTTATAAACTCTGAAACGTGTCATTTTATAATCGGTCCTGAAATAATCAAACAGGGACCGATAACATGTAATCATATTTTATTATCGTTTTGTGTCCTAAACAAACAACGAATTCTTTTATCAGGATTCGATACTCGATGTTCGATATTCGGCCTAACCAAACAACGAATTGTCTTATCAGGATTCGATACTTCGAGTCCTCACTATAAATATAAGCAAAGATGTTAGATATAAGTTAGTCTTAAGATTAATTTAATAAAGCAAGCATAAAACTTAAGTTTTGTGCGTTTTAATTAAATATAATTGGCGCAGTCGAATCGGATGTTTGTCCAAAGACAAAATAAAATAAATCTAACGCGAAAGTGCAGATTTTTTTTTTACAAACATAAAACAAAAATTTTTATATTTGAAATAATACACATTCAGTTTAATATAAAGTCATATTACAAATTTTAATATATATAATAAAAAAAAGAAAAGATACATTCAAAACAAAAGAATTTTATCATAGACAAAAAAGTTTTGATAAAAGTCGAAAAATAATGGATTCAAAAATCGTCACTGTAATTAAAAACCAGGAAGAGACGATAAATGAGCTTAAACAACAATTGCAACAACAACTTCAACAAGAACAGGTTCAACAGCATTCACAACAGCAGCAGTTACAAGAACAACACCAACAGGTACAACAAATTGTTCTCAGTGATGAAAAAATCATCAGTCATTTTCGTCACCTTAAGCCTTTTAGCGCTGCGAAAGATGGCAACCTGCTTGCTTTTATTAACGCAGTAGATAGAGCTTTTCCGCCACAATAATCTCCATTTGGAGAAGTTTGTTACCCAAATAGTGGTCAACGAGAAACTAATTGGAGATGCTGGAAGATGTGTTCAACAACTCGGATATATCAGCAATTGGAATGAAGTGAAGCAACGTTTGAAGCAGACATTTCAACCACAGCAAACTTATACACAAGTTGCCAGGAAATTAAGGTTAGCAATTTAAAGGAACTTTTTGACTTTTTTTCTAAGCTCAAGTTATAAATTAAATGAAATCTATGAATTTGGTGTTACAAAATCTTCTGTTTATAAACCTGAAAATGTAGACAGAGATCTTAAAGATATATTGTTAAAAGCCACCGAGCACATTTGGACGACTCAGATAGACAGGAAACCGTGGAGTTCTTAAAAGTAAACAATGAAAATAATCATAACCTTATAGAAAATTCAAGTAGACAAATAATAATAAACTGTAATTTTAACAAATCCATTAACACTTTAAAGAAAATTGCAGAAGATGACAGGGTTAAGATCTTGAATTCTTTAAGTCACATAAATACAGAAATAAGAGAACAAACACTGTTCTATGAAGCTTTATATAAAATCGAGTTTATTGGAAAAAAAATTGATCAAATACAAAATAATGGTGTGTCTGCCAAATACAATATCTTATTTCCGAATATATTAAGTAAACAA